AACTTTTCAGGTCAGATCTGTGCCACTCTCACATGTAGTCTTAATTCAGACACAGATCTGGGGCCTCATGTACGAAGACTTGCGTGGAAATCTTACTAAAACTTTGCGTACGCACAAAGCTGTAAATGTGCGTACGCAGAAAAAAATTCAGATGTATGAAACACTGCATACGCCGAATCTCACGCATATTCTTTTGTACATCCGAATGAACGTGAAACTGAGCGCAACATGCACGAGCACAAAACCCCTCCCTGCCTCCTCCCCCGTATGAATATGCTAATGACTATGCTAATGGCAAAACCCAACGAAAAAGCAATGGCAAAATCAAGCAAAAAGAGAAACTTTGAACAGAATGTGAAATGGAGGTGCTGCTTTCAGAGGTAGACCGGAGAAAAGCGGTGTTATTTGCAAGTTTGTTCTCCGGAATTAACAACAAAAGAAAAAAAATAGAGTGGGAGAGTTTAGCTGATGCGGTTAACACAGTTGGGTCTGAACATTGCACTGAGTGCATTAAAAAAATATATAGTGTGGTTTATATCTGTAAAATGTTGCAGCACCCTTAGCAGTCTCAGTGGCGCACCTCAAATCGTAAGATGCATGTGATCATGAATTGACACGTTCGAGCATGAACTAGGCTCGAATCCAGCATCTGATGAACTCTTTCTTCTTTTTTTCCCCGCTACATATCAGATTTTGCCCACTATTTATCACGAGAAAGACAAGTAGGAATCATCAGTAAGTTTGTGCATCATATTTTATTTGCACATTAATTGAATGGAAATGTTTCTGATTCACGCATGCAAATTCATCTTCAGATAGTGTCTTTATAGCAATGTGCGTGCGGTAGATCGCTCAGATTACATTGGGAAAACAGGCGACTTCTGCAAATTGTGCTTTAATGTTTAGCTGGTCAACTGTATGGTATGGAAACCTTACATACCTGCTAGATGAACCTGTCTCATACAGCTGCCATTGCAAGGCTCAGACACTTTGTAGAGAGGAATTTTACACAACTGCCTCTAGGAGTCGCCAATGGAAGTAAAACAGACACGCACAAAAAATGTGCGTACGCCAGCCAGAAAGCTGCCGTGAAGCTGCGCACATTCCTACGTTCAGTTCATTGTTAGTAAATCCAAACGTGAGCGATTCTGAGCGTGAAACCAGGCGTTCGCAAAGTTTTTGTGCGTACGCAGCGTTGATACATGAGGCCCCTGATGTTTTGCAATGCGACTGCAGTGTGAACGGTTATGTTGGATTTCATTTGACTTTTGCATAATATTTGAGCAACATGCGTCATCATTCTGTGCTGCAAACATCATCTACCCCTCAGCAGCACAATAGAATGGCACACAGGGCGATTACTGCACCACGGAAAGTTGGTTGTTCATGTTAAAAAAGATTTTGAATGCATAACTGGTGCTTGTTAACCATTCTGGTTAATGATTAAGGCACGGGTTAATCGCAAAGCCAAAAAGCATCATGGGTGTTGCGGATAGAGGACCCTTGAGCAAAGGAGGAAGAACTTTCTCTCCGAGAGAAAAAAGGGCAGGTGCTCGAGCATCCAAACCCACCTTCTGCACATGTCTGTTGTTTATAACAAAGTAAAATGAAATAACTCTGCAAACAGACATAAACCAACTCTGCCTTCACAGCTCAGTCTGCGGCTGCTCAGATCAGAGCGCCACGCACCCCAGTTGTCATAAATCACAAAAGATCAGTGTTTTTTTTTTATCACAGGAGACTTGTTTTAGGTCTCAAATGCTGAAATATGCCTTAGTAGAAGCAGAACAATCATTTACAGTTCATGAAATACACCACGGTTGTCTGTTGAAAAGGGTAACAATAATAGAAGCATGATCTGACAACGTGCTTATTTATGCAGCACACACATGTGCATAATTACACATTTTGTGCACTCCGTAATGCATTTTTGCACATGTGGGTCGGTTTAGGACCATGATGTGTTCACACCGCAAATCTGATATAAGCCACATTTATAAGAGCAGTGTGAACAGCCATGCAAAAAAATCAGATCTGAGAAAAAAATCAGATTTGAGCAATAAGCCTTGCAGTGTGAACATAACCAAAGTTTTGTACATAAAACAAATTACATTTTAAATTCTTAATAATTCCTTGATAATTGTTTGTTAAACTTCCATGAGAAGCTGTAACATATCCCAAACAATATGAAAAAAAAAAAAACTATTTTCTATGGCTTAACTTAAAAACACTAGAAATTATATCTGTTACAATAAAGTACACACAGTATAGTTTCTCATTGCCTCTCTTGCTATAGCTGATGAGTTTCAGAAACACAGTTATAGTAGCCAGAGAAAAATAGGTAGAAGAGTAAAGGATCAATAGCTCAACTAAAGCAGCCTCTGTCAAATGGAACATTTTCAATAAAAAATATAAACCTCTGTTAATTATCAAATATTCTTGCAGATATGCGGGAATTGAAGTCAATCTGTAATCAGTGAAGCTGGTAATGCTGTCATTTAATGGAGTTGTTTACTCCTCTGTCTTAATTCAGTTGGTTGTCTGTAGTTTTATTTCTTGTTCTTTCCTTTAGTGATTGTGCTTGTTAACAGCAGGTGTTCATCATTCAGTCATTTGTGGTTGTGGTTGAAAACAAAGGTTAGATCTAGTACATTTGTTTTCCGTGTTTTTTACAGAAATGAGCCTGTTAATCACTTAACAGGTTTTCACTGTAGATTGTACAGACTTTTACTGTTAAAATCATGAACATATTTTTACAGTGTGTATATGATATTTAACAGGGAGCTAATGCAATGATGAAAGAACTGGAGTAATATGGTTACATTCCTTTGTTCTAGAAAGCACTCAAGCAGTTGCATTTTGAACAATCTGAATTTTGTTAATTAGGCCAGCAGGGCAACCACCTTGTAACGCATTACAATAATCTAACCGAGAGGTCATGAACGCATGAATAAGCTTTTCTGCATCAGACATTGATAGCATATGTTGAAGTTTGGCAACATTTTTAAGATCAAAATCATTTTCTTAGTTCAGTCCTCATCTTCAGTCATAAATCCAAATTTTTGACTGAAGATGATGACTGAACTAAGAATCCATCAAGGGTTAGACAATAACCCCTTTCACACAGTGATACCGGTAAATATCTGGAAAATTTCCGGAACGACTTTACCGGTATATTTAAAAAAGTGCTGTTCACACAGGCGAAGACGTTACATAATTTTCCGGAAAAGAGCATTCACACATCCATTCCAAAATCCCGGTAAATTCTAACATCATTCACCACAAATGAGCTTTAAACGGCTGCGCTTGTATTTGTAAACATTTGACTAAATTACAAACTCTGTGGATGATCAATATTGTGAACAACTTTCGCAGGATCACTTTCGCATGTCGAGATGTTCATAATATGTGCGTGTGCAGGCGCTCACAGGCTGTTTCACAGGCACACGCAAAGCTTGAAGGTAAACAAACAACGGCTTATCATAAGCATCTCATCGATGATTATTTACACAGTTGGCATTAAGAAGAACATATAAACGTGATCTGACTAACTTCTAGCAGCTAAATGTGTCTGGAAAAATATTCAAAGGCTTTTATTCTCACAAACCGCGCGGATGTAAATGCGTCTGACTGTTGTGATTGGCTAAAGCAGACGTCTCTTGTCAGCACGTTCTAGATGTGCACGCGCTTATTACGGCAATCTTCCTTCTGCATTCACACAGCGCAGCATTTCGGCAAATTGCCGGTAATGTTACAACTTCTCTTTCCGGAAAATAGCCAGAACGAATTTACCGGTATTTTCAAAAAGGACCTTTTTACACATACAACCTTTGTTGTAGGTCTGTATGTGTGAAAGGGGCTAAAGTTCTAGTTTTTTTTTTCTAGTTTTTTTCATGTGAGGTTTTTGGGTCCAATAAGCATGTTTTATCGGTAGTATATATAGTGTGAAACGTAAGGGACTAAGAACTGAGCCTTGTGGTACCCCACAGTGTACTTTTGATCTGTATGATGCCACTTCATTAACTTGATACAAATTGATAACGTTCAGATAGATAAGACCTGAACTAAGAATGCAGTTCCTATAATACAAACATAATTTTCAAGCCTATTAAAGAGAATATTATGATCGATTGTATCAAATGCAGCACTGAGGTCCAATAACACTAAAAAGAAATGCAACCACGATCGGACAACAGAAGAAGGTCATTCGTAACTCTTAGGAGTGCTGTTTCTGTGCTATAAAATGCTCTAAATCCAGATTTAAATTTTTCACAAGTATTGTTTCTTTGTAGGAAGGAACATAGTTAAGCAGATATAACTTTTTTCCCAGTATCTTTGGTAGAAAAGGCAAGTTTTAAAGTGGGTTTATAATTTACTAGTTCTTTGAGATCAAGCTGTGGTTATGTAGGTTAAGTAGGTATGAATTCAAATCGTTAAGAAAAAGTTCAGAAAATTCTTAAAACAATTGTTTTAATAATTTAGTGCCAACAAAAACCGCAACTGTTAAATTTATCATCAATGAACTACACAGAATGTGGCATATGTCCATGGCCAGCTTTTTGTACACTCCCAAAATCTTTTTTTTTTTTTTTTTTTGTATTATTATTTAAATTACATTTAATTGAAGAGCAGCACAGTGACTCAGTGGTTAGCACAAAGTTCTTGGCATTTCTGTGTGGACTTTTGCATGTTCTACCTGTTTTCGCCTAAGTCTCATTGAGTACCCCAGTTTCCCCCATAGTCCAAAGTCATGCAGTATAAATAAAATAAATAAACTAAAATTGGCTGTTTTGTGTGTGTGTGTGTGTGTGTGTGTGTGTGTGTGTGTGTGTGTGTGTGTGTGTGTGTGTGTGAATGGTGTTTGCCCTTTTACTATTTATTTATTTATTTATTTATGTTTGTTTATTTAATTATTTATCTGTTTGTTGATTTGTTTATGTATTGATTGTCTCAGCAACTTGACCTATTTTTGTATGTCTTCTTTCTCACTTAATCTCTAGCAGCCGTTCCTGGAGGTCAAGATTCTTGAAACAACCAAGCGCTCACGGAGGAATCTGGGTCTTGACTGTGATGAGCACTCCACAGAATCTCGCTGTTGTCGCTATCCACTTACAGTGGACTTTGAAGCTTTTGGCTGGGACTGGATCATTGCACCTAAACGTTACAAGGCAAACTATTGCTCAGGGCAGTGTGAGTACATGTTTATGCAAAAGTACCCACATACCCATCTGGTGCAGCATGCAAATCCTAGAGGGTCTGCAGGGCCATGCTGCACCCCAACAAAGATGTCACCGATAAACATGCTTTACTTCAATGACAAACAGCAAATAATCCATGGCAAAATCCCAGGAATGGTGGTGGACCGTTGTGGCTGTTCATAGAGTTTTGCATTTTGGTAGAGATAAATAAGCTAAGTAATGGAGGGGGGAGAGTGTCAGGGCTTAATTCAAGAATGCAAGTCTCTACATTTTCCTTATATTGTTTCTTAAATTCCTTTGAATGAATTTGCTGTACAGAAAGAAAAAAAAATGTGTAGCTTTTTTTAATAATCACAGTAAAAAGTCTTTACATCAAAGACAAAAGCTAATTTCTCTTTATTATTTAAATTTATATTATATCTACCAACAATGTTTTTTATTGTGTTGGGTCACTCTCAAAAAAATGCATAAGTCCAAAATCCGAAATGACCAATATCCAAAATTAATATATTCCTAAAACTTTGTGCAGTATTTCACATTCAGAGAGAATAGAACAGTTACAATCTGTTAATTACAAAGAATGATATATGTAATGCAGGACAAAGCATGTATGATCTTTTTAGTATTGTATTATATTTTAGGAAAGTACAATATTCTTATTTCACACAGACACACACACACACACACACTCACACACACACACACACACACAAACACACACACACACACACACACACACACACACACACACACACAATTCTCTCATTTGTGTTAGACTTTGACATTAGTCCAAAGTGCTTAAGTCAACACCCTAAAACTTAATCTAGGTTATCAAAATAACCTTTAATTTTAGTTCAATGCAAATGTTCAATGCAATTGACAAAATCATGGTAGGAGACACATTGACCCCTCCCCTTCCAATAATGCTTCTACCACTATGACATCCGCATTAAAATAGCTTTTCTTTGAATTTTTTTTAATCAATATACCAATATATTTTTTCGTTTTTTTTTTTTTTTTACATTTTAATTTAATTTAATATATTGTTATATTTTCATTGTGCTGTGTAGCTCTGACCTAATATAGGCACACTTTCATGATCTTGTAAAAAGAAATAAGAAAAGAAAAATAAAAAGATGATTTTTTTCTTACTTTTAAGGAGAAAAGTAACATATTTAGACACAGAAGCTTAAGATGTAGCTCCTATTACTGTGAGTGTGTGTTTCAGAATGTACAATAACAAAAAAAGCATGCATACATGCATACATACATACATACATACATACATACATACATACATACATTACACACATCTTCCTGTAACTCTGCCTTGAAATTCTGGTATCAATAAAAAAGCATCAATGTAAGATAAAATAATACATGCTTGTGAATTTCGATTTTCTCCTCAGTCAATTACTTTGAGTTTATGTTGAGTTGACTGACAAGAGGATTCGCTTAGAAGGACCAATCACTCTGATTTGTTTAAAAACAGACCTATGGAATGCATATGAAATTGGTGAGTGCAGCTCTCACAGGGGTAGAAACTCCCCAAAAAGGAGTATAAAGGCTGCCTTGACAGGAAGCTCATTAGACTGCCGCTTCAGAACCAATACGTCCCTTGATGGGCTAGCAACTTCAAGTTCAGCTGCAAGCTGGATTCCAGTGCGAGAACAATGCATTCAGCGGCAGTCGAGCTGGGCTTCTCTCCTGTGTCTGGGCACTCACTGGAATTCCTCTGCAAACTCCTCTGGACGTTTGCCACAAAATGAGCTTTCCTTTCACTGGTGACTGATCTGATTGCTTAGTTACACATCTGGCTTCAGCATGCGACGCAGTGTTTGAGGAGATCATGCTCACACTGTGTGGGCATGACTGTGGTTGTGCTTAATTGCGGCTTGTGCTGTTTTAGTGCGAGCACCCTCTGTTTTTCCCTGCACTGCAGCGAACACTTAAGTCAGTATAACGCCCCATTCACACAGAGCGTCAGCATCAATGCTTTCTATTCAATTTGAATGGGTGAACCCAATCATTGCCAAACTGAATTGTGAGTATGTCGGTGCTGCTGCGGCATTGCTTGCTGCAGAAATTGGGTATTTCTCAACTTTTCAAGCACCATCGGGAGCGTCAGCCAATCAAATCACTTTATGCAAATACCACAGCTAAAACTGTAGCCGATTGCAGACTGATTTCATTGACTGATGCTGCTATGACGATTGCGTCAGCCCCACCTTTAGACACGGCCTCTGTCAAGTGCTGACGCTGAAGCCCAATGTAAATGCAAAGTGAGAGTATCAGTGGGATGAAGTCGCTGGGTAATCCCTGTGGCTCTCCTGTTCCTTATCAACACAAATCATCTAGGCTTTAGAAGAGTGTGCAGTACGTCCTTTGGGGTGGTTGCACGTTTGTTTAATGCATTCGGCAAACAGATGTCCATCATGGCATCAGAGGGTAAATTGTCATTAACCGAAGAAAGCATGGGAGGGGGGGGGGGTGCTCCATTTGAGGTGCTCGCAGCCCTAGCTTGATTTGGTTATAAGGGCTGTGCTCTTCAAGAAAAATGGGTGGAATCTGAATCTATGTCTAACTGACATGGTGGGGACTCCCCTGGCTCACTGTCCCATTCTTTTCAGAGGAACAGAAAGAGCTTCAGGTTTCAATGCCATTTTTCCAGGTTTGTTCCTGTTGCATGCCACAGATCGCTCCCCATCTGCTTCTATGGATCCAGACGTGGCCCTGGTTTACCACTGGCCCCAAGTCTACCCCAGTGAGCCCTTTCGCACAGACACTGTGCAAGATCAAGGAGGATGAGGAGCAGATTTTTGTATTTGTGCCTCTTCGGCCCGCCTGAACCTAGGTTCCAAACTCACACTCCTTATTAAAGCCCCTCCCTGACACTCCCACTGAGACTTTCCTCTTGGTGTTGTGGCACCATCTGCCATCCGCGTCTAGGTGTCTGGCCACCGCTTGCGGAGTCTAATCATTGTTTGGTGCATTTCTGTAGCATGAGGTCCCCTGAACTTGCCCAATGAGTGTCATGTCTTCTTTTCTTCAGGTTAAGCTGGAGGGCAGGCTGTTGCAGTGCTGTAAAGACATTCATTTGATCTGCTCTGGTCAGCTGACCATGCTGGCATTGTTCAAAAGGGTCAGGAATAAGAAAGTATTTTTGGTCAACGAATCATGCCTGCAATTTAGACTGGCTAATTCTCACATTATCCTAAGATCCTGGCTTGGCTTTATGTGCCCAAGGTTTTTACTACTCTTCTAAGGAACCAAGTAGGGAACCTGCAAGCCCTAGGTAGATTAATAATTTATATTCATATTCATCACAGATTTACCTTTGTTAAAAACAAAAGCACTATAATGTTGGTTTAAAGATGGGCCTTCTAAGTAATATATGTATATATCACATAACAAAATATTTAAAGAATGGTGATATGATGGGGCTGAAGGGTATAAAACATTAATTTGGGCACTCTACTAACCAACAAAAAATGCACTATGTGAAGAAATTGGCATGAGGAATAATGTTTTTATTTGTATTAGAATTTTCCAAACTCTAATACTGATTAAAAATGATTCTAAATGGGATCTCTCCGTAAACCCTACGGACTGTGGAGACATCCATTTGATCCGCTCGAGTCAGCTGACTGCGTTGACATCATTCAAGAGAGTCAGGGACAGGGAAGTATTTTCAATCAATGAATCATGGCTGGAATTTGGATCAGCTAACTGTCATGGTTTCATGAGATCCTGACCCGGCTTGGTCTGTTTCAGAGGTCAGCAGCAGAGAAGTGCCGTATCTAAACAGGGGTTGACCCACTAGATAGTGAATGCCATCGTGCTTGCATACCATACTCAAAGCGAGCTGTGTCTCCCAAGGATGAGAGCACACTCTACTAAAGGCTTTGGCCTCCTCCCGGGCGTTACCACTTGGTGCCTCTCTTACAGAACTGCGGGTAACACCAGTCATTCACGAGAAAGCTAAGCTTGGAGTCAAAAATGCTTGCTGCGCCATGCTCCCTAACCCAGAGCTACGAGTAAATTATACTGCTTTGCAAGCTTGAGTTCCCCGATGGTGATTCCTAGAGAGTTCAACTCAACATAAATGACTCAGTATGTTATAAACCTTTATAAACTCAACTATAATATTTATAAGCTCAACATAAACATTACATACATAATGAGGGTTACAAATGACGTTTTTAGTTTTACTGAATATAGAATAATATAGGCCTTTATGTTGATATAGGCATTTACATAATTAAAAATTACATATGGCACTGTGGATTACTGCAGTATTAGTTTATCAATGTCTGCAATTTAGAGAAAATAAGAAAAAGTAATTGCATTTAGCATTTTTGTTTTTAATTAAATACCATTTCTGCCCCTTACCAACCTATAATGGTACATTAAACATTGGGAGTGCTGAAAAAGCAAAGGATGGAGAGGGAAAAAGGTAGAATAGATTTTTTTTTCTATTCATCATAGATGTACCTTTGTTGAAAACAAAAGCACTATAATGTTGGATTAAAGAGGAGCCTTATCACACTAAATCTAAGTATCTAATATATGTATATATCAAAAAAGAAAGTATTTAAAGAATGGATATGTGATGGGGCTGATGGATTTAAAACATTATTTTGGGCACTCTACTAACCAACAAAAAAAAAGGAAAAAATGCACTATGTGAAGAAAATAGCAAGAGGAATGTTGTTTCCATTTGTATTTGACTTTTGTATTTAACTGAAAAATCTCTAAGGTGTCTATAGCCCATTCACCATACATTATGTTTTATCTTTTCATTCAGTTGAAGCAGAAACCTGTAAAATGACCACTATGGTTTGACAAATGTCCACAATTACATACCTGACCCCAGACTGGAGTTTAAAAAATAATCTGTTTTGTAATTCTATAAAATGTACAAACATAACTCTAAAAAGTTGTTTGTGGCCGATTATGGCTGGAATAAAAATTGTCATGCGAATGAGAATACAGGTCCCAAAAATAAACAAGGACTTTTGTATTAACTAGCAATGGACTACTAGGTTGAGAGTAGGAGCAAGATTTATAAACAAAATCAATTATTCCTTCTAAAAACTACATCTCAGAAAAAATGAAAAAGCTACCTCATCAAATCAGTTTAAAGCTTTGCTAGGAAATTTTAATTTTATATATCAGCAGAGCCAAAATCATCTATATTTATACTCAAAATAAAAATGCATTTATTGCACCATAAAACTTTACTCTTGCCATTTCAGTTCTATCAATGTTGTTTAGAACTTTAAGAATACTCTGTCAGTAGAACATTATTATTTCAACAATTTATACATCTTATAATATGCCACAGGGTCTATATGCTAGAGTTCTTTAAGGACACAAATAATAAAATGTATGGTGTGGAGATTACAATCCAGCACCTTGTTGTTTTACATTTGAAATTTCTGTATAATATAATGTTCTCATT